TAAGAATGGGTCATTCCATTAATTTCAATAAAACAAAACGTTCCCTACTTCCCCTCCATATGATTTACTGACTTACAGCACGTATATGTTACGGTTTGCTACAACGCTAACATTAAAATGATTCCATAGTTTTCAATGTCGTAACAAATCATAACTCTTCACCTTTTCTATTCATGCTTACCCATGTCTATTTCTCGCCCGCCTTCAACACGGCTACAAGTTTAATATACAATGGCACGCGTGCAAAATTTACGGTATTTGAGAATCTGTCCTATCAGTTTTCCCGCCACTCGGTTTCTATTTTAAGTGTGAGTTGTATGTGACGTCATGTATGCGATTGACACGCGCAGTCGGTATTAACATAATGGAAGTGTCAGCTTCACTTCAAAGGCACTTTAAACCATGTATGTCTTCCCGTGCCATCTAGATTTTATCGAGCTTAGTTCTAATTAGTTCCAAATGTGTCGTGGTAGTTTTATCATTTTTATCTTCAATTAGTGTAAACCTGACAAGGTTTTTATTTTTCTTTTCTTTCTTTAGCTTTTTTAAATGTCAGTGATAAGACTGAATGCTAAAGCGACTAATTGGTTAAACAATTTATAGGACATTTAGTGGGAAAATAGCTTATGAAAGTAAAACTTCCAGCTGAGTTGACAGCATTCGCCGAAAGGAATTATGGGTCAACTACTTTTGGTTAGCATTCTCCAAGCAGGGACTGAGTTCAATGTAGATTTCTCTTTTGAAAGAGACTCCACTATCTTGTAGTTTGTGCATTCTGTACGTTTTTGTGTTTAACAGTTGATTAGAGTGTCTACTGATAGAACTATGTCTGGTACATTCTTCCACTGGTGAATCATCGTCATAGGTGGAACGTGATATTTCAGGGTCACACTATTATTATCAATATTAATATTAATATCATTATTATTATCATTATTTATATTATTATTATTATCATCATTATCATTATCATTATCATAATTATCATCATTATTATTATCATTGTCATTATCATTATTATCATTATTATCATTATCATCATTATTATCATCATTATCATTATCATCATCATCATCATCATTATCATTATCATCATTATTATCATTATCATTATCATTATCATTNATTATCATTATCATTATCATTATCATTATCATTATCATTATTATTATTATTATCATTATTATTATTATTATCATTAATGGATACGTTATTAGAACCGTTTGCACCGGTTTGTACCAAATTGATTGCGAAAGCCACAAAATAATTTGTATACTAAGATTGCATGCATCCCGAACTTTTCGAAAATAAATCTAAAATATAAAGTTTGAAACTATTAAACAAGAAAAATCTTTTGCGCGATTTAGCTGTAGTTACAATAAATATTCCAGACATAAGGTGGAACCTCTCTAAACGGATGCCTGGCCGACCGCAAAAGGCCAGATAAATTGTTCTTAATTAATATGGAGCTGTCCTTTATATATTTTTATTTCAAGAGAATGTATGGTGAATTAATTTGCCGGGACCTAAAGAACTATCAGTAACATGGAGGTGTCCTATTAATAGAAGTGTCAGTATTATAGAGGTGTCATGATATGGAGGTGTCCGGTCGTATTATAGGTGTGTCCGTATTGTAGAAGTGTCCGTATTGTAGAGGTGTGGAAGTACTATGGAGGCTTCCGTATTATAGAGGTTTCCGTATTGTAGAAGTGTCCGAATTGTAGAGGTGTCCGTATTGTAGAAGTGTCCTTATCCGTATATAGCCTGCTGTGAAGACGTTTTTAGTGTCGGCTCGTTCCTTTTATTTTCTAGCTCGAATAGACTAACTTCGGTTAAGTATTAATAAGGGAAGGTTACTATGACGTCAGCGAGGCTAAATAGTGATTTTTTTCGAAAATTGCCCCTGTGATTATTGTGTGTGTGTGTTTGAAACAATCTGTTTCGTATGTTGTTGTTGTTTTACTAAGTCTTCGAGCATGCATGCTACATCGAAAGGCCTTGAAAGGATTGTAGGACAGCTAGCATGAACACCGCAGTCGCACTGGAGAACCCTGGGTAACTCGGGTAACATGTCTGGAGCTTTTCCCCTCAAAAAATCAAACAGTTTTTTAAAAAATAATTTCAAGTTAAAGATTTTGAATTGAAGTCAAGTGCATTTACGAGGTAAAAATCTTCTTGAAATTTAGCTTCAAAACTATGTGCTTTGATCTATAAATGATGTCAAAAGCATAAAGGTGGCGCATATGGGAGGGCATTCTACATTAATCCTCTTAGCTGAATGAAGATTACATCGTAAGAAGACGAGCCCCAAGGCAAAAGTGAAGATATTAAATACTATGTCTGCACGAACACAAAAAGTTCTACTACCTTCCTGATTTGCATTGCGTTGCATGACAAGACTTAATTAAAAATTTTAAAAAAGACAATTTTTGTTTATCAGAACAAACATGAGAACAGAAGAAAGATGTTGTCCAGTCATTGATTAAACGATATCAGCACAATCACTTTCCATCATATTTGATCGTACCTTTTAGGGGTTCAAATCGACTTGGTTTCAAAAGGCTCTTTTAATTTATGTGTATCTAGTTGGGACAAAAAATCTTTAAAAAAAAAAAAAAAAAAAAGAAAAGAAAAAAGAAAAAAAAGGAAAAAAAAGTCGGTAGGTATTAGCTTCAGGTCACCCATCCTGGTACTAACCTGGGCAACCAGACTTCACTGAATCCCAAGTTTTTTCCACTGGGCCACGTTTCCAGGTGAATCAGCATAACAATAGCCGTGAAAACAA